CACACACACACACACACACACACACACACACACACACACACACACACACACACACACAACAGAACCTTGGGTTAAATAAAACCCGTCCTGTGTGGTTCTGTCTGAGGGGAGGAGTCTGTTGCTTCATGAAACAGGAAGTATTAAAAAGGTGAACATGAGGACCGGGCCGTCCGCCCAGTCGTCCAATCAGAGCGCAGCAAAACAAAAACACCTGAGGAAACCGTTTCCAGCAGTTCCACCATAAAACCGTGGGAAAATAAAACGTTCACCTCGTCAGAGACAAACGCAGGACGAGAAGTGCGGCACGCTGAGGTGACAGCTGATTGGTCCTCCTCTGTCAGGCCCCGCCCCCTCCTGCAGCAGCTGAAGGATCATAACGCCGTCTCTGCATCGAAACACCTCCGGCTCTCTTCGCTCTCCACGCAGATCTGGATGCTGGGCAGCTTCTCCTGACTGGAGGTAAAGCAGGTAAAGGTCAGCTTGTCTCCTGACCAATCGGAGCGAGGCTCAGACGATGATGTCACTCGGGACCGGCCCGGTTCTGGTTTTTACCTTTTGCAGCGTTTCAGAGCTTTGCTGCTCTCAGAAGGTTTGAAGACGGACTTCCAGATTCCACTTTTGGCCATTTCATCTGAGATGTTCACCTCTGACGGGTCGGACCTGCACAGAACCACAGGGACCGGGTCAGTCTGGAGCAGACCCATCAGGGTTCTGATCAGAACCATCAGGGTTCTGACCCGACTCACCGTCCCTTCAGGCTTTTGATTGGAAACTTGAGGCAGTTTTCCCGCTCATATCGCTCCTCTTCCTCCTCCAGCATCAGCTGAGCGTCCTGAGGAAGAGCAGAGGACAGGTGAGGACCGAGCCGGGTCGGGTCGGTACCGTGGGTCCTCACAGAACCGGTCCTCTGCACAGACCCACCTCCTTCTGCAGCTTCTTCTTGTCGTCGTCTCTCTTCTTCTTGCTCTCTGGAATCAGGTCGTCCAGCCAGCTCAGCTCTCGCTTGGTGAAGCAGAAATCCAGAAGCTTCCTGATGAAGACCAGAGCCAGGACCTGCAGAGAGGACCGGGGTCAGGGTCAGGGTTCAGGGACAGGGTGAGTCTGTGTGTAAAGACCCGGGTCTTTCTGTCTCACCATCATGGGGAAGACCACAGCAGCAGCAGAGACCTTGATGACCCACAGGATGATGAGACAGGACAGCTGGACCACGGTGAAGACGTGGACCTTCCAGATGGGGACGTAGCGCAGGTAGATCAGGTCAGGCTGGTGTTTGGCCGGCATCCCGAACAGCTTGATGCGGTCAAAGAGCTGAAGGACAGACGAGATGTCCTCACAGAGTGTCTCTCAGGGTGTGTCTCACAGGGTCTGTCTCACAGGGTCTGTCTCACAGGGTCTGTCTGACAGGGTCTGTCTCACAGGGTCTGTCTGACAGGGTCTGTCTCACAGGGTCTGTCAAACAGGGTCTGTCTCACAGTGTCTCACAGGGTGTGTCTCACAGACTGTTTAACAGAGTCTGTCTCAGGGTCTGTCTCACAGAGTCTGCCTCTCAGAGTCTGCCTCTCACAGGGTCTGTCTCACAGTGTCTCACAGGGTCTGTCTCACAGGGTGTGTCTCACAGACTGTTTAACAGAGTCTGTCTCAGGGTCTGTCTCACAGAGTCTGCCTCTCACAGGGTCTGTCTCACAGACATTTTAACAGAGTCTGTCTCACAGGGTCTGTCTCATAGACTGTCTCACAGACTGTCACAGGGTCTGTCACTCACAGGGTCTGTCTCACAGGGTCTGTCTCACAGACTGTCTTAGGGTCTGTTTCACAGTCTGTCTCACAGGGTCTGTCTCAGGGTTTGTCTCAAAGTGTCTGTCTCACAGACTGTCACAGGGTCTGTCTCACAGAGACTGACTCATAGGGTCTGTCTAACTTGCTCTGTCTCACAGGGTCTGTCTCACAGACTGTCTCACAGGGTCTGTCAGGGTTTGTCTCACAGAGTCTGTCTCACAGAATTTTTAACAGAGTCTGTCTCACAGGGTCTGTCTCACAGGGTCTGTCAGGGTTTGTCTCACAGAGTCTGTCTCACAGAATTTTTAACAGAGTCTGTCTCACAGGGTCTGTCTCACAGAGTGTCTCACAGGGTCTGTCTCAGGGTTTGTCTCACAGGGTCTGTCTCAGGGTTTGTCTCACAGGGTCTGTCTTACAAACTGTCAGGGTCTGTCTCACATAGTCTGTCTCTCAGGGTCTGCCTCACAGAGTCTTTCTCACAGACTGTCTTGGGGTCTGTCTCTCACAGGGTCCGTCTCATAGGGTCTGTCAGGGTTTGTCTCACAGAGTCTGTCTCACAGGTCTGTCTCACAGACTGTCACAGGGTCTGTCTCACAGGGTCTGTCTCACAGACTGTCTTAGGGTCTGTCTCACAGAGTCTGTCTCTCAGGGTCTGTCTTACAGAGTCTGTCTCTCAGGGTCTGTCTCAGGTTTGTCTCACAGGGTCTGTCTCACAGACTGTCACAGGGTCTGTCTCACAGAGTCTGTCTCTCACAGGGTCTGTCTCACAGAGTCCGTCTCTCACAGGGGCTGTCTCTCAGGGTGTGTCTCAAAGAGTCTGTCTCACAGACTGTCTCACAGGGTCTGTCTCACAGTCTCCATCATTACCTGTGTATCAGACCTACCTGGATCCCTTTGAGCGAGGACACTCCCATGTACAGGAAGACTCCGTACAGGACGGGCATCGGGATGAACTGCAGCAAACAGGAAGTGTTACATTCCCTTTCAAAATAAAACTCATTACTGCTTGAACCAGTGAGTCGTTCACCTTTAGCGCAGACGTCATGAAGACGGAGCAGCCCATCAGGACGAAGATCATGAAGCCCGTCACCCTCTGCTCCCTGATGCCCAGAAACTTGGGCTGCTCACCTGGTGCTGCACATTCGGACTCCACCTTTAGACTGTTGACATGAGAGATGGACAGAACCGTGGCCGCCACGAACCACGGCAGACCCATGATGGAGCACACGCCAAGCATCACCGCCACCACCAGCAGGTCCAGGTGGTACCCACAGCCTTTCTACAGCCGGAGACATGAAGACAAAGACATCCAACCATCATTAGGACACAAACACAGAGGTCCAACCATCATTAGGACATAAACACAGAGGTCCAACCATCATTAGGACACAAACACAGAGGTCCAACCATCATTAGGACACAAACACAGAGGTCCAGCCATCATTAGGACATAAACACAGAGGTCCAACCATCATTAGGACATAAACACAGAGGTCTAATCATCATTAGGACATAAACACAGAGGTCCAATCATCATTAGAACACAAACACAGAGGTCCAATCATCATTAGGACATAAACACAGAGGTCCAACCATCATTACAACACAAACACAGAGGTCCAACCATCATTAGGACATAAACACAGAGGTCCAATCATCATTAGAACACAAACACAGAGGTCCAATCATCATTAGGACACAAACACAGAGGTCCAACCATCATTAGGACATAAACAGAGGTCCAACCATCATTAGGACACAAACACAGAGGTCCAATCATCATTAGGACACAAACACAGAGGTCCAACCATCATTACGACACAAACAGAGGTCCAACCATCATTACGACACAAACAAAGAGGTCCAACCATCAGGACACAAACACAGAGGTCCAACCATCAGGACACAAACACAGAGGTCCAATCATCATTACGACATAAACAGAGGTCCAACCATCAGTAGGACACAAACACAGAGGTCCAATCATCATTACGACACAAACAGAGGTCCAACCATCATTACGACACAAACACAGAGGTCCAACCATCAGGACACAAACACAGAGGTCCAATCATCATTACGACATAAACAGAGGTCCAACCATCAGTAGGACACAAACACAGAGGTCCAATCATCATTACGACACAAACAGAGGTCCAACCATCATTACGACACAAACACAGAGGTCCAACTGTCATTACGACATAAACAGAGGTCCAACCATCATTACGACACAAACACAGAGGTCCAACCATCATTATGACACAAACACAGAGGTCCAATCATCATTATGACACAAACACAGAGGTCCAATCATCATTAGGACATAAACAAATGTCCAACCATCATTATGACACAAACACAGAGGTCCAATCATCATTATGACACAAACACAGAGGTCCAATCATCATTAGGACATAAACACAGAGGTCCAACCATCAGTAGGACAAAAACACAGAGGTCCAACCATCAGTAGGACATAAACACAGAGGTCCCAACCATCAGTAGGACATAAACACAGAGGTCCAGTCATTGTTAGGAGACATACTGCTGTGAAAACTCACCTTCAGCTTGTTCTCCTTCCTGTTGATGATGATGGCGGTGATCTGCTGGTCCATGAAGATGAGGATGGTGCATAGCAGAGCTGGGATGGCGGCAGCCAGCATCGTCCACCAGGGGTTGGGTCCCAGCGGAGAGATCAGCCACCCCCGATGGCTGGATGTGGGCTGATCAGATGGAGAACTCTGTTAGAACCTGACTGAAGTTCTGAGAACTTTAATAACTGAAGGTTGAGGAGACCAAACTGAAGAAGCTGAACGTTTTTAATATTTAAATTATTTTGTTTAGTAAAAACCCGTTTCTGCTCTGTGGAGTTTTATTTGACTAATATGGGAACAGGATTGTGGTCAGGATTTTCTGCATCATCAGAGTAAACTGAACCCTGCAGGTCTGATCCCGGTTTACCTCAAACCGGTCCGGAACGTTGAGCTTCGGTGAAGGAACTCCCACCAGATAGTCCAGCAGCACCATGATCATGATGGTCAGAAAGACGGCAAAGTCACTGATGGACGACCGCACCTGCTCACAAACAACAGAGGGACATTAATCAGGACAGACAGAGGACAGACAGGGGACAGACTGAAAACAGACAGGGGACAGACTGAAAACAGACAGGGGACAGACTGAAAACAGACAGGGGACAGACTGAAAACAGACAGGGGAGAGACTGAAAACAGACAGGGGACAGACTGAAAACAGACAGGGGACAGACTGAAAACAGACAGGGGACAGACTGAAAACAGACAGGGGAGAGACTGAAAACAGACAGGGGACAGACTGAAAACAGACAGGGGACAGACTGAAAACAGACAGGGGACAGACTGAAAACAGA